CAGTGGTCTAAATGTGTGAGCCCTCCTGAGGGTGTCCTTGTCACTGAAGTTCGGTTGTTATCTCTACATTGAGTTCACCACTGCCCTCTGTCACTGTCTACCGTATTGCTCCATTTTCAAAAGTTCATCTCTGAGATAAGAATTGAAGTATGGCAAAATGAACCTGTTTGGAGAGATTTGACAAAGTTATGCACCCACCATGGTTAGAACATAGGGCATGGCCATCACCCTCAGAAGCTGCCCTGTCAGAGAGCTGGTTTGTTCCCCGCCCCTGTGAACGGGATTGCACGTCCTTGAGTTTCATAAAAGTGGAACATACAGTGTGCTCTCGTTGTTTCTGTCTTCTTTACCCACTTAATACTTTGGAGTTGCATTTGTCAGTTCATTCCTTTTTATTACGGAGTAGCATTCCAACACATGGATGTACCATAACTTACATTTATCCATTTTCCTGTCGATGGGGATCTGGTGCGTTTCCAGTTTATGGCTATTACAAAAACCTGCTATGAACATTTGGATACGTAGCTAAGTGCTGTGTGGATAAGTTTTATTTCCCTTGGGTAAATACAAAAGTATAATTGATCTTGTTCCATGGTAAATGTGTGGTTAGTTTTATAAAAACTACCCAACTTTTTCCCAGTGTGGTCATGCCATTTATACTCCCACCAACAATATACATTTGTTCATATCTTCACCTAAAATTGGTGTGTAGTGTATTATGTTTGTGAGATCCTGATTCCAAATGTTGTTGACAACCTCTCCCTGCCCACCCAGTGCTGGAGTTTGAACTCAGGGCCTCATGCTTGCTAGGCAGGCACTCTACCACTTGAGCCACTGGGCCAGCCTTCAACTATTGTTCTTGGGTACTTGTTACTGAAACTTTGGTTCTCTGAGCTCAGTTCCAATTAGATGAAACTTTTATTAATTTGCCAGCAAATTAAGTTATACAGTGGATTTAACATCCTGAAGACTCAGACCCTGGCCCAAGGAGAAGAATGGGTTTTTAAGGGAGAGCCCAGAACTCAGAACTTCCTGGACTGCTTATCTCCCTTTGGTGTTAGTGTCCATTCATTTCTGTCCATCTCCCCTAAGTGGTAACTTGTGAGGTTGAGTCTTGCTAACAAAAGATTTTCTCTAGAAGTAAGGGGCATGATGGCCCACGAGGTGATGGCTCCTTAGGTGACAGTAGGATTGTTAACCTTGAAGTCCCTAATATAGGGGATGAGGAGGGGTGGAGAGAGCAACAAAAGGAAGGAAAGGAGAAGATTAGACTTGAGCAGTGGGCTGGCTAGTGAAGTGATTTAGTTACTAAAATTGTAAAAAATTTTTACTGTTTATTATTGAGTGGTAATAGTTATTTTAATATTCTGGATACAAGTATTTTGTCAGATGTATTACAAATATGTTTTTTCCTAGTCTGTGCCTTGTTTTTTCAGTTTACTCACATCTTTTAAATAAAGGGTTTATGTTTATGAAATCAGCTGATAAGCTTTTTCTTTAATAGTTCATGCTTTTTATGTACTATCTAAAAATTTTACCTATCCCCAAGTCATGAAGGTTTTTTTTTTAATTTGCTTTTTAGAATATTTATTATGATATCATTTTTACATTTACTTGCATGTATATACATTGTATGGGCAACCCCTTTCCCTGGCCCCTCCCCAAAAGGTTTTTCTTTATATATTACTTTAGAAATTCTGTAGCTTCAGCTCTTACATTTAAATCCACGATCCACTTTGAGTTAATTTGTGCATGTGAAGTAAGGCAATAATAAGTAAACATTCATTTTCCTCTCCTGCTGGTATCAATTATTCCAGCATCATTTGTTGAAAGACTGTTCTTTCTCTCTTGAAGTACTTTGTCAACTTTGTCTAAAATCATTTAACCACATTTTCATAGTGCTGCTTTTATGATTGTGAATAAGCCAAAAGAATGAATCTTATGTATTATACCTTTGAAGACAACTAAGGATCTTGCAGTGCTTCTGAGGTATCACAGTGGAAATTTATTTTCATACCCCAGTGAATCATTTTTTAATTAAAAAGTCTATTGTAGAGACATGACAAGTTATTGTAAAACCTGACTGCATCCTGGGCTGGAGGAAAAAAAGGTGCTATAAAAGAATATTAGTAATGAAGTGACAAGATTGAAATGGGAACAGTAGATTAAGTTGACAGTTGTATTGTGGTAACATAAAGGAATGCTCCCATTTTTAGTAAGTGCATACTTAACATCTTTTGAGTAAAGGACCATGTTGTACATAATTTACTCTCAAATGATTAAAAAGATTTGTGTGTGTATGAGGGGAAGGGTATACCTGCAATAAAGTCACTACCATGAGTATTTATAGTAGGTTAATCTGAACTGAATCATATCACTTATGCTAAATTTGATAGCATTTAATAAAAAAAGTCCAGTACTGGGGATTGAACTCAGAGCTTCATGCTTGCTAGGCAGGTGCTCTTCCACTTGACCATGCATCCAGCCCTTTTTGCCTCATGTATTTTTTGCAATACGGCCTCGTGTTTATGCCTGGGCTGGCCTGGACCATAGTCCTCCTGTTCCGATTCCTGTTTAGTTGGGATGATGGGTGTACCACCACATTTTAAAAAATGTATTATGATGATATCTTGAATTGAGAAATCTGTCTCTGAAATCCAGCTCTCAGTTCTATTGGGCAAACTGGCTTATTAGGAGTTTCTGATGAATTTTATCTTCTTTGATATCTTTGATACCTGGTTTGATTGATTTGAATGGTCTTATTACAGAGCCATCTGTATGAGAACCCTTGTGTTTATCAAGAAAAAAGGCACACTGTCCCTTGTTCTTCCTGCAGAATTTGAGACAGTCATGAAAGCACCACCAGTGTAAAAAGATGAAATAGCAGGAGGAATCTGACTGAGAAAAATAAGGATGGCAGAGTAATGCAGTCTGGCAGGCCAAGGGCAGAGGGTGCACACCACCACCATGAGAGAAGGGCTCCACTAGCTTTGACCTTCCTAGCAACCGGGGAGAGGGAAGCCTACTCTGGAATGAAATTGCAGGACCTGTGAGACATGTGACCTTAGAGGCCCTGCTCTTCCTAACACTGAGGCTGCAGAGAAATTTCTTCCTCTGATGTTCCCCAGGACACTTCCTTACCCCAAGAGCAGGTGGTGAGGGGACTTCTCCCTCTTCCAGTGGTCTCTTGCACTGTTTATAGTAGAAATAGTCCTTTGGGGGACACAGAACATTGAACACAAGGAGTGTTCCAATGGTGTGTTTGAGGTAGTAGTAAAACTTAAAGCATTACAGGTGTGGGCAGACTCCTTCCCAGTGTTTCTCAAAGGAACAAAAGCCCACAATTTTAGCCTGGTGCCAGTGGCTCATGCCTGTAATCTTAGCTACTTGTGAGGCTGAGATCAGGAGGATCTTGGTTCAAGGCCAGCCCAGGCAAATAGTTTGCAAAACCCCCATCTCCAAATTAACCAGAGCAAAATGGACTGAAAGTGTGGCTCAAGTGGTAGAGCATTTGCTTTGCAAGTGTGAAGCCCTGAGTTCAAACCCCAGTCCCACCAAAAAAACCGCAGACCCTTGTCTTTGGTCATCATTTGAGTCTTTCTGTGATAATCGAGGCATCTGGTACTGAGGCCCTCTCCTTTCTACATAGAGGTGAGCAAGTGAAAGCCCCCAGACAGGGCTCAGGCTCCCTGGGCACTGTGTGGGATTGCCTGTCACACAGGCTCTTATTAACTGTAGCCATGCTTGATGATCTCTCCACTCTGGAAATCTCATGTTCTTGAGCGGTTTCGCCACATGGCAACAGAGGAAAATAGGGGACCATTCATGGCATTGATCTAGGGACAGAGTATGGGTGTGGAAGCTTTAACAGTTTGTCAGGAAGGAGGCAGGTGCTCAGGAAACCCATGGTGTCACACTGGTGACTTGAGTGTCAGAAGACCCCATCTCCAGGAAGGGGGTTGACAGCAGCTTGCGTTCCCTAGTATATCGGTCTTCTAAGCTTTTAGGACCAGGCACATTTGTGACATTGAGGCCCCTGGGAAAGGATGGCTCTGGTGGTCGAGAGCCATCGGCAGGTGGTTTGTCTAACATATCTGTCACTCTGTGGGCTCCACGAGGAAGGGGAGGGTCCACCCTGCTCAATGTGGTTTCCTTTGGGTGGATGCTGAGAAAAGCCCCAAGGGATTGATCAGGGCTCTGGCTTCCAGAGTCATCCTCTCTGCTGTAAAGGTCATGGAGGGTTTGTCTCAGAGCCAGCCTCAGTCCTCAAGCACAAGCCACTTGGCTGCTGCCATGGCCTTTGCAGAGTTTTAGCTTGTGACAGTCCTTTGCAGCCCAATGACGGTTAGTGCCTGATGAAGGTTACTAGATGTGAAATTCCCCTCTGTGGAATTGGAATGGTTCCCAGGCTGAAGAGCAGATTTCTGGTAGCTTCTTGTGGCTCCTCTCCTCCTCCCTCACTCCCTTTGTTCAATTCCTGTTGCAGGAGTCAGCTTGGAGAGGATCCTGCTGCCCAGCCCTGCCTGTCCTTCCCGAGGGCTGCAATTCACAGGACAGGCCTCCTCCCAATTTGTGTAATCTATAACCTGGGCTCCTGGTGTCAGCAAAGTGCATCCTCCCTGCCCTGTTTCCATGTGATACCCCCTTCCCCATAAACTTGGTGAGGGGCTTGCTAGCTCAGATGGGCCAGCAGTTCCTCGAGGCCTTCAGGAAGTGCAGGGTAGGCGTGGGGCTCCAGGGTCTTGAAGGAGGGCTCTTCGTCTAGTTGGAGGATGATTTGATTTTCTTTAGTTTTGTTAAATGACATTTTCTGCCAGAAAGTTAAGTCAGGTCCGAAAGAATACAACATTTATCTTTCATCAACATCTGATGGGTGAGCTGATGACTCTTACCCTCCTTACCCCCACACAAGTGCTCATGGGTCCACATGGCAGAGCTTGGTGTGCGGGGGGAGTGGGCAGAGGGATGGCTTGGCTGAAAACACTTCTCCATGTATTTTGGGTGTGCTTTCTTCCAGTACCAGCCCTCTGAATGGCGTACGTGTTAACTGGAAGAACCTTTTCCTGCAGTGAATATCAAGGCAAGCCTGTGAGATACCCAGTGTTAGTAACTGGCCTACGTCCACTTGTCAGTTTATTCAGTTCAGTTTGACTCCTTGCTCCTTATGAGGATGCTGCCTGCTGCAGAGGGAGTAGTGGGAACAGAGTTGCTTTGTGCTTTCACGTAGCTACAATTAAAGAAAAGTGCTTAGGGGAATGATTGGTGACACATTGTCCCAGAAGGAAAATGTCTGTGCTTTTGTGATACCTTTAGCTGCTTCGGTTCCTATCTTTTCATCTGGGGTCAGTGTGTCAGTCACACAAGCGATTGAACGGTTGGATGTGGGCGCTCTGTGTGTGGGTGATTATTGGAGCATCATGGGCCGATAATCTCAGTCTGTACTGCCCTCCGCTCTTGTCTTTTAGAATGTCGTTCTCTCGGGAGGCTCGACAATGTTCAGAGATTTTGGACGGCGACTACAAAGAGATTTAAAAAGAGTGGTGGATGCCAGACTGAAACTGAGTGAAGAGCTGAGTGGTGGCAGGATAAAGGTAGGAGGCCGAGTCTCAGCCTGGGTTGATGTGTGCACTTCCTGACAGGGAGGGAGCCCAGGAGCTCGTCTGGGTGGCATGGGGTACAATGAGCTTGGCTTGCTGTCTTGGCCACACTGAAGTCAAGCAGAGGCTTGCTGCCTGAGCTTGCTCCCAGCGTGCAATTAGGACTGATGCTCCTGCTGTCCTGGCTGTTTGCCAGTCATCTTGTTTTGTGTGGTAAGCGCTCAGGTGTGAGTGTAATGACCAGGGTTCCATGCAGATGGAGTAATCATCTATGCTGATGATCTTTAATGTCCTTTGGAAATGCTCTCACTGGGATAACTGATAGGAGGGTGGAGTCATAGTTCTTTGCGAGCTGATTTTATTTGGGCTTCTAATCAAGATTGGCTTTGGTAGGGAAGTGGAAACAAGCAAGAAATTCCACTGATGTAGGACCACCTCTTTGAAAAGCACAGTTCTTTAGTGATTTTGGAATTATCTCTATAGTGCTAGGCCATCTGATTTATTTGCTCAACAATTCAGTTAGGTTAGTTGCTTGGAGGTTTTTGTTTCTTAAATGCTTTTTGTGTTGTTAAGAGATGACCTCTGCTGGCCATGTTCTCTGTTCCCTCATCCTCGGGGCCAGGACTGCAGTCTGGTTATTGTCACTACAGGAACCTGAAGGTGAGGAAGGGCCTTACCGTGGAAGAAAGGTCCCAAGGAAGCCATTGTCTTGTCAGCTGACAGTCGATTAGAAAAGGGATTTGTTTGGACTGAACATAAATTACTTTATTTTCCAGCCAAAGCCTGTGGAGGTGCAGGTGATCACACATCACATGCAGCGCTATGCCGTGTGGTTTGGAGGCTCCATGCTGGCCTCAACTGTAAGTCCTTTCCTAGATTGTTCTGTATTTTCATTTCTGCATTCTCTGTTGAGTTCAGATAAATGTGGTCCATGAAAGTTAAATAGTGTGTGTTCCATTTGTGAAGCTTTAAACAGACATACATTTAATGCTATCAGATAGAAAAGCTATTTTAATGGTCATTTAAATCACACAGTGAATTCATAAGTATCCTTGCTAATTAGGGTCACAGATAGCCATGGATAAGTGAAACCCAAAAGTAATCTATAAACCTTGCATTAATCATTGACCCCAGGGACTTTCCCAAGTAAGTCTTGACTATTTCCTCAATTCGTTAATAGCTAATACGTTGCTCATTTAGGGCCAGCACATATTTGGTCCTAAATAAATGGAGGCTAAGTAAATGTTTGGTGTGGTGATGGGGATCAATGAGTATATTCATAAAAATGAAATAGACTCCTGTTCAGTAGTTCAGTATGTCAGAGAGGTCAAACCGCACTACAGTGGTGGTGTTGGTGGGGAAGGTCCTCGACAAGGAGAGGAGTTTCTCCTTTGCTTGATGGTTTATTGCATTTATTTCCTCCTGAGCGCTCCTGTTTTCCCTCTGACTGCTGCCTCTTGCAGCCCGAGTTCTTTCAGGTCTGTCACACCAAGAAGGACTATGAAGAGTATGGCCCCAGCATCTGCCGCCACAACCCTGTCTTCGGAGTCATGTCTTAGTGTCTGCGTTGAAGCCACCGTTTGGCAGTGTCGTGCTGGGGAACAAGTGTCCTTCAGAGCCCAGAGAAGCCACGGCGCCTGTCCACACCTGTGTGGTGCTGGTGTCCTGCAGTGTGCTCACATCGCCCAGTGCATGGGACCCAGTGCAGCCTCCCTGTAAAGCCATTATCTGTGTGCAGCTGCTCTGTGTCCATCCCCTCTTCCCCCAACCCCTGCCCATGTCTCCTCTCTCTGTCTGAGCTTCTCCTCAACAAATATAATTCTGAAGGAATTAAACGCAACTTTTAAAACCATTAGCGAAGAAAAGGTGCGAAATGGTTCCCCCAGGAAGGAATGTGGGGGGAACCTCGTCCTCCCAGCCTATTTTTGTAAATAAAATGTTATAAACTTGAAATACAAATCAATGTTTATATTTCCTATCATTTTGTATCTTACAGTATTTGGTACAACTGGCTAATACTAAGCACGGATAGATTTTGATGTCATGGAGTGCTGTAATAAAAAGTTTTTAAATGTGAGGCATGTTCTGATTTGTTTATAGGCAAACAAATAAAGCAGCAAACTTTTTGCCACACGTTTGCCAGAAAATGATTATCCCTTTCTGGGGTGACATGAAGTCTGAACACTAAACAGTGTTGTATGAGAGTATTTTAGGTAAGGTGTCTGTGAGTTTCTGTTTGAACTTTCTGGAGCTGTTTTATAGATGATGGTGGTTTGATGTTTGGTGCGTGCTAGATGAATATTACCTTGCACATTGTAATAAAAGCTGTTAGAATCTTTATACATATTTTCCTACTGCAGTGTGGTGGTCTTTTGGTCTTCTTCCATAATTTTAAAAGAATATTGAAATTCAAAGTTTGTTTTCCATTAATAGATTTCCTGATTAATAAGTTTGTGGTAGGAAATGACTTCAAATGACTCACTGTACCTATTCTACAGTGATGCTCCCTCACTGAGAGTGGATAACTAGCCGTGTTAGGTGTGTTTTGGGCCAGGGGTGTGTGGAGACGGATGTCCTAACAATTTCCTGTGTCCCTTCCTAGCAGTTCAGGATTCATGACTTTAAGCTTTCAGTAACTACTCTGACATTTGCTGAGTAGCTCGCTGGCTTGAGAGGTAATTTAACAGATTTAGGTGTATTCCATTCTTCTAATCGTCCTTGTGTTTTTTTTAATACTTACGATATTTAAGTGGTGAGGTTATGTTTTATTGTCAGAAAATTTGTCACCATAACCAGGTGGCTTTAGTATTTAAACTTGGAAACAAGTTTAGGAGTAACAAACTTGGTAGATCTCTCTTACCTGTAGTTTGTTACCCACAGTCAACTGAGTCTGAAAATATTAAATGAAAAATGTCAATGATAAACCACATGTACATAACATTACAGTATATTCTTCTTCTTCTTCTTCTTTTTTTGTTTTGGTGGGACTGGGATTTGAACTCACGGCTTCACAGTTGCAAAGCAGGCTCTGGTTATTTTGGAGATGGGGGTCTTGAAAATAACTTGCTTGAGCTGGCCTTGAACCTTCCATTCTCAGCTTCCCAAGTAGCTAGGATTTACAGGCATGAGCCATTGGCACCCAATTATTGTTGTTATTGTTAATTTCTTACTGTACCTGATTCGTAAATTAAACTTTATGTGTATGTCAGCTTTTTGTCATTCTAATGAAATACCTGAGGCAGGCTACTTAAGAGGAGACATTGGTTTAGCTGGCAGTTTGGGAGGTTGAGGAGCATCAGCTCTGTTCTGGTGAGGGTCCTCTCCGCTGCTCACTGGGGTGGATGGTGATGGTGGGAGCACAAATTGGGTATGTTTGATACAGGAAGCCAGAGAGCACTGGGTGGGGTCAGGCCCAGGCTTTCGTAACAGTTTTTTCCAGAGAACTACTGTGATTCCTTTTGAGGGCAGGGCCCAGTGACTCAGGGGCCTCCTGCTAGCCCCACCTCTTATCCATTCCACAATACCTCTCAGTCCCAGTGCCCTGGGGACTGAGCCTCCGCTACATGAAACTTGGGGAACAAACCACATCCAAATCACTGCCATGGGCATGTATGGATAAAAAAAAAAAAAAAAAACCCAAAAAACTATGCAGAGGCCATAATGCTGTGTGTTCAGGACATCCCCTTGGATACTGAGACCGGAGTTTGCCATGCCTTGCAGGTCTGTCCTCTGTGTTGCTGGTCTTACTTTTTTGGTACCACATAGTTCGTCCTTCATCCAGACACCATGTTTCTTCCCAATTCCTTGGGTGTGTGCCTTCTTGGGAGTTTTAGTTTTCATTGTTTTGGTTTCTCATGATATTCCAGCTACATTGGCCCATGCGCCTCAGCCACACTGCATCCTGTGCGTGGCAGAAAGAACAACTTCTTCTCACACCATATCATCTTAGTTTTGTGCTCTTCAGAGCTGTGGTACCTCCCCAGAAACTCCCCACATCCTAATCAGTCTCAGTTACCAGTACCTGGGCCACGTGCCCGGCCCACATGAGTGTGCTCTGTCTCAGGAAACATGCTTATTTCGGCCCCTGCTCTGCATTTGTGCATCCCAGCTGCTTTGTTGCATGCTCTCCAAACACCTGGAATAATGCTGTGTCAGTATTGCCACCAACAGTGGCAAAACCAGAGCTAATAGAGCCTGTTTTTAGACCAAGAACACCTAAAGCTTCCATTTTCTCTGTGACAAGATCATCTTAAATGTGTAGGGCACAGTAATCTATTGGATGTGACTACATAGTGCTGTGCCTCTCAGTCTTGGCCAAGGCCCATCTCAGATCCAGAGTGAGAATGCAGGAGTGGGCCCAAATGAGGAGGGAAAGCGCCCATGGTTTCCTTTTGTCTTCAAGCTTCTTAGGTGATGCCACTCTGTAGCCAGGGCTGCAAACCCTGATGAGCAGAAAAAAGAGCTTTTGGCCCAGAGTGATCTGAGCATGAGTTGTAACTCTTTGAAGCAAGTCATAGCCTATCTTCTCTCCTGGCTTTCCTCAGAACTGGAATGGCCCTGTTACTGTCCATAGGTTTGTGTTTTTTGTTTATTCCTTAAAGCTGCCAGCTACTGTATGTGGAAATGAAATGTGATTCTATAAGGTGCTTAGAGTTACATTACTAATTTTAATAAAGTCCCCACACCTTTTTTCTTCAGGTTGACATAATGCTAGATCATATTGTAGTATTGAGTTAAGTCTTACTAGAATTGATAGTTAAGTGAACCTTCTGGGACAAAACTGCCTACAAGTCCAAGTGAACCGTTGAACTGTAAAATACACTTCAACAAGGACAGTTTCTTACAAACATATCCAAGATCCTAAGTCAACAATCCTTAACCCACTTAAGTATTCTGATAGTATAGGAAGTTGCTTTGCCTTACATAGTAGATTGAAACAGAAACTGTGATGGAAGGTTATTACAGGAGTGGCTTTAACTTACAGAAATCTAGCCTGAATAACCATCCCACAGGTGTGTGTACTTCACATGTCACATTGTACATGAGAAGATGATGGTTTTATCTGTCAATTAAAAAAAATGAAAGCCTGGCAACTGGCACATGAACATTGCCAGTGTTGTCTTTCTAATGAGACACAATGGCTAGTTCCGAGTTCATCAGCTTCTGCAGCTTTAGCTTTGGTTTTATTAATTTTGTAGGCATGACCAGATTAAGGAACTTGGGGCTTAGGATTTTGTTTCGGTAGAGGCTGCCAGTAGGGGAAAACGTGAGAGAAATGGAAGCTACCCAAGTGGAAAGGACTTGATGGGTCATTGCAGGGGCAAGAGGTGGTGCTGTCTAGGGTGTGAGGAGGAAGGAGGAGCAGATATACCTGGTTGGGGAACTCCACTGTAGCCAGAGGGAGGGAGAAGCAGGGAGAGCTAGCCTTGGGTTTTGCTAAGCAGGTGTGGCAAGTCAGATGTCCTGTCCAAGACGTGTTGATAGGGTTTCTTTGTACTTGAAGTGATGGACCGGGAAGTCTTAAGTAGCATGAAAGGTAAAGGGCACTGGGAAACTAGGGAGAGTGGAGGCATCTGAGTGATACAGAGGCTAGGCAGGGAGTGAGGAAACCTGATGGCTGAGAACTGTGGCTTGGATGTTGGTAAGGAATCATATCCTGGACTCTTGATGTTAACAGAATGGCTTGTGAGATACAGCAGGGTCTGATGACCTGCGGACCCTGGATCCTGCAGAAAATCATAATGGCTCCAGTCTGACGATCCAAGACCAAAAACTGCCCCCTGCCTGACACGTGAGAGGACTTGATGAACATAACCCAGTTTCCAGAAGTTAATGACATGTGACCCAGTTTTCCAGGAGTGAGCACCCTCAGGTCTGCAGTCCCCACTAAAAGCCTGAGATCTGGGACCTCTATGCACTGCTCCTTGAGTCTGCCCACCCTGCCATTGAAGGAGCATCTTTGCCTTCATTTTGCTTTTCATACATAAACTTGCTTGTGTTGAACTCTTCTCTCTCTCCATTCTTGAATTCTCTCATGACACCCAGAACTTTCTGGCCCCCAAACCCAATGCCCTGAGCCAAGCCAGGAGACTTGAGGTCTGGGTGACTCATTCTATAAGCCTGCCTGATACCTTGTCAGTATGGGGGGATGGAGCTGTCTTTTCAGTTTTGGACTCCCTGGACTGTGATCTTGGGAAAATGTACACAACGGTGGAGGTGTGCTACTTTTTTCTCTGTGCCTAGAACCAACAAATAATTAACCATCAATTAGCCTTTTGTATCCTGAACTGTAATTACAGGGTTATCATGTAGAGATTGAGCTCTGTGTACTTTCCCTTCTGCCTTCTTGATGGTAGTAAAATAGTTTTTGCTGTTCAGGGTTGTTTGGAAGTTCTGTTATCTTAACCAGCTCTAGTGGAATTTAACATTCTGAACTCTGAGATTCATGTAAGATCAAAGGGAAGAAAATGTGAAAGACACCCCTTTAAAAATCTAGTGGCAGTAAAGTTTGTATAGGATCTGCAGCCATGTGTGGATGGCAACAAGGTAAAAAGGAGCCAGTGAATAGGAGATGAGATATAAAGAAGGTTATAAAGGAAAGAACACTTTTGGATGAGAAAGGATTTTGGATGCTCTCTACATGCAAAACTTTGTTTTTGTCCTAAAAACAAAGGATTATTTAAAAATGAGAACAGGTAGATAAGGGCAAAACCAGAAGGCTAAAGCACATCACAAGCAATGTGCTAGAGTTTATGATAAAATATAATCTATAGGAAACCTAATGCTGTCTTGATAACTTTGAAAAGATTCTCTGAAGACTTCCCCTGAAGTCCCAATAAGCTGGGACACAAAAGTGCACGGTTGATCTCCCTGAGATAGCCTACTCTCTTCTATAAAAATGTGTCGTTACTATTTTTAATAAACTACTGTTAGTTTCACTCATTCCATGTCTTCCTTGCAATCTTCAGTTGTGGGAGCACAAAGGCCAAGAACCCCAACCAAAACTTGTGGTAACACGGGGACTGAGGCCCAAGCTGCAAGGCAGGGGGACTGTGGTCAGCAGGAGTGGGCTTCTCATTGGAAACTGAAGAATTTACGGAGTTTAACAGAAGGGCATTGCACAGGCTGTCCAGTGGGAGTTGGCACCCAAGTGGGAATGGGGTGGAGGCTTAAGGTGAGAACAAGGGTGAGCCAGTTGCCCATTCCTGGGTTGGCTGTGTGCAGGGAATTTTGCTAAGTGCTAGCTCACTGTGACCTTAATTTAATCTTAGCAACCCTATGAAGTCAATGTTTCC